AGAGGGATGTCCTGTTGATTGGATAGGTAATTCAGGATGGGGAGCCAGATTGCAGTAAAATTGGTGCGAGTAGGACATTTATCAAAACGCGTAAGATTATCCGAAAGTTTAGCCATTATATATAAATCCCACAGCTTTTTATGCCATTGAGAAAGAGTGGGTGACATTGTCGTTTTCCAATGTGAGGCAATGACAGTCTTAGCTGCAAATAGCATTATTGAGATTTCATTCAGTGATAGAGGAACTAACATCGTCCGTAGCTCAACTGTTCAAAACTATATGTTCAGGTGAAGGGGCAATGTCTATATCACCAAATGACTTGATCTGCTCTATTACTTCTTTCCAGAAGGGGAGAATTTTGGGACAGAATATCCAACAGGGTGCATAATCTCCTAAGATATCACATTTCTTCCAACATTTTGGGTTGTATGATGGGTTCATGCGGGCTAGCTTGCAAGGAGTGAGGTACCAGTGCGATAATATTTTGAATGACTGTAGCTTCATAGATGTCATTCTAGAGTGGAATGGGGGAGATGTCCATATGCGATTCCATGTATCCTCTGAGAGAGTAATGCTACATGGCTTATGCCACATTGCTTGGTAAGATAGTGTTTCTGCATCCCTCAAGAGCGATTAGTACTTTATGTACCTGAGATAGCAAACCTTTTCTTGAGATGCTAGCCATAGCAATGATCGTCTCAAATGCTGTGAGTGGTTTTTGCAGTATGGATTCAAGTTGGAATTTGTTTACACATATGAGAAATTTGAGAGTCCTGTAGACAGGGGATAGACCCTTTTATTTTGTCCTCTAGGGCTACCTTGGAGTGAAGTAGTGTTTTTGAAGTGAGAGCCTGGAGAGCAGGGATATTTGCCATTTTCCACTGCATATATGCCGGGTTGTTTGTACCTGGGAGGAACCAATTTTGGTTTAGGAATGTCTGATATCGGCATATAGGAGGCAACAATACTGATCTCATCCAATCCCATGTAGTCAGCATTGCTGAGAGCAGGGGGCTGGAGCGAATTTGTTTAGGCCTACCTGAAGAGGTTTGCCACATGACCTCTTTAATATCGAAAGGGTTAGTATGCACCACGTACTGTTTAGCCTGATCAGAGTCGGGACCCACAAACATTAGTTGTATCACCTGTGAAAGGAGGAAATCTGAAGTGCTGTGGTTAATTCTAAGGTGTGCTCTGGGGGGGGGGGTCTGCACAGATAGCATCCATTGCAGTCAAGAATTTCTCTCCAGAGCCCATATAGTGGACCACTTTTTTAAAGTATGGAATTTCCATTGAATCAAAAGCCTTCTCCAGATCCAGAGACAAGAAGGCTGCTGAAATGTTCTGGGACTTGGAATAGTTCAAGTTTGTGAGGGTTTTATGTATATTTTCAGTTATATCTCTTTTGGGCATAAATCCCACCTGATCCTGACTCACATACTGCATAACAAATGAATTAAGCCCATTGGCCAAAACTGACGTAAAAATTTTGAAATTAGTATTGAGCAAAGATATGGGCCTGTGGGATGCCGGTAAGGCTGGGTCTATCCCCTGTTTGGGAATAACTATAATCGCCACCCTATTCAATGATGGTGGGAGACAACCCAGAATATGGTTGCATGCCTCTGACATCCTTATCGATGGAGGCCCAGGTGGCAGCCACTGCCAAGTCAGCCTTTTTCCATCTTCGACGGGCGCGGCAGTTGGTTCCTTTCCTTGACCGCAATGACTTGGCTACTGTGATCCATGCGACGGTCACCGCAAGGTTGGACTACTGCAACGCTCTCTACATGGGGCTGCCTTTATCGCAAATCCGGAAGCTGCAGCTGGTGCAGAATGCAGCGGCCAGGCTGTTGATGGGTCTCACTAGACGGGACCATGTCCAGCCTGCGCTGAAGGCACTGCACTGGCTGCCTATAACATACCAGATTCGCTTCAAAGTGCTGGTTCTTACCTATAAAGCCCTTGATGGCCAGGGTCCAGCGTACCTAAGGGACCGCCTTTCTCCATATGTTCCCCCAAGACCTCTACGGTCGGGATCGCAGCACCTATTGGTGGTTCCCGGCCCCAAGGACATCAAGCTGGCTGCAGCCAGGGCTTTCTCGGCGGCGGCTCCTGTCTGGTGGAATGAGCTCCCAGAGCAGGTTCGGGCCCTGTGGGACCTGACGCAATTCCGCAGGCCCTGCAAGACGGAGCTCTTCCACCAGGCCTTTGCATAGGAGCCGCTGCCATCACTGTACCACCACCAAGTTGCCATCTTCTACGGTGGACTAGATCTGGCAGACGCCTAGTTAACCGAAGAATGCTTGTTGTCAGGTTAGGTTGATGAATGGAATTCATCTTGGATTAAGTAAATTTAACATCAAGAGCATCGCACTTTATTTAATGACTGTTTTATACTGTTTAATGATTGTTTTTATGTTGTTTTAGTCGTTGTTATGGCAATTGCCTCTGTTGTAGCTGCTGGCTGCATGATATCTGTACCTTACCACACTAACTGAAAGGACAAGAGAATAGAAATTAAAGATTAAAATTTATAGTACCAATTAGAATGCAGATCACTATAGAATTCAGAGGATCACTCTGGAGCAGGCCACATAGAACTGTCCATTTAAGAAACAGTCATCTGTTAAAGTCAACTCCTGCTACCTGTCAGGTAGCCCTGTCATGAGTCTGGAATGTGGAGGGGTGCCCTCCCGTTTTCAGTCTCAGCTCTCCCTGATTCACCAACTGTATGTTATTTTATGCTTGACCTTGTAGATGTTCCAGCTGCAGTATTATTCGGCTGGGAAAGCCAACGGCTTTTGCTTTGCCTGCTTGCTTTGCCCACACACGCGAACTGTATCCATTGGCTTATGCTTACCGGGGGGATGTTTGATTCTAGTCAGAGTACTGTTGGCCATTCCTGACACAAGCTGTACATGTGTTTTCAGTTCTGGATTTACCAATAAACAGTTCTCTTCTCATGAAGCCCTGTGTTGAGTAACCTGGTGTGGGAGTACACTGACGAGTTCAAGCAGCAAGCGGCTAAGATCAAGGGCTTTAATCACCCTGCAACCGCTGCTGCACCTGACAGACAACTGCCTGTTAGGTGTAGGAGGTGGGGGGAGTGTGTTGGAAGCCACCCCACCTCGTCTCCTACACCTGACAGGCAGCTGCCTGTCCAGTGTAGGAGGGGGAGGAGTATTAGAAGCCACTGTGGAGGTGGGGCTGCACCTGACAGAAAATTGCCTGTTAGGTGTAGGAAGTGGGGGGAGTGTGTTGGAAGCAAAGCTGCTGGCCCAGCCTCTCTGATGGCTTCCAACACACTTCCCCCACCTCCTACACCGCCCCCCCCAATCGCTTCATAATTGGCGATGTGCAAGTTGAGGGCAGCAGACGAATATACTTTCCTGCCGAGGGTATCAATATTACGGCCCTCCTTATCAGCTGGCGAGGCGTGGGCTCCTGTATGCTGTTTTGCCTACATCTCCTTGGCTATAAGGGACGAGGCTAGTGAGTGGCAAAAAAGGTAAGAATGTCCCTCCTGCTGGACCTTTTCTTAGATGTGGCATATGTGTCCTGGCAGGTTGTTGCCGTAAAGCCAGAGAGAGGTCATCCATGCCCTCCAGCATATGAAGGACAATCCCACATGGGGAGTCCCCGTACAATTTGTTTAGGGTTTTATCCTGAGGTTTGGGGTTGCTGGAAGTCACTTCTAGCTCTAGGGACTCGGCCATCCTCATTATCTGTTCCGTGTGCAGCTTTAAACCTTCATTGGGTGGTGTCGGATCGGGGTCCCCCACCGTGTCGTCTGGAGACGGTTCAGACGGAAGGCCCAACTCTGCATCCGAGGGTGATCGGGCTCTCTGTGTGATGAGAGGGCAGCACAGGAGGGAAACCAACAGGAGGACCCATCGCCTCCTGACTCAGCACAGAGTGGCGCCTCGGCTCTAATGATGACTTTTGATGGTGCCAGTCGCCCCAGAAGACAGGGCAGAGTACTGGTAGTTTTGCCACGGAGGCCTCTTGGATGTGGCACAAGGCTTCACCTTATGCTTTGACTTGGAACACACCTTCCTGGGCGGAGGTTCCAACGAACTACGTTCTGTGGAACAGACGGAGGACTGGGTCTGACGAATCAGTTCTGTTCCTTGAACCGATGGAACGGAGGCACTCGATGGCGGGGGCTCCTAAGGCTCCTGGTTCTGGCGGCTGGCTTGGATGGTCATGACGGACTCTGCGCTGTCAGGGCAGGTGATTTCGCTGCCAGGCTCCTGGGGCAGGAAAGGGCCTTTCCCCATAAGCCTGGCTTCAGACGTACTGTTCGATCAGAGCAGGCTTTAAGGAGTGAACTGAAGACAGACCTTGCACTGGGCAATGTTATGGACCTTGCCAAGAGATAGAAGGCATAACTGGTGCTCATTGCACCAGGCACACTTTTTAAACAAGGATTTCTGTGACATACTGCCGGTCAGAAAGCCAAACAACACAAATCTCCTTGAAAAAGGAACTCACGATCTTTGGAGCTGCAGAGAACATCTGCACTATGCGGCGGCGAAGACAGGACTGAGGGAAGGGGCCCCTCCTGGCAGAGCATGTGACTGAGCAGGAAAATGGACCCTGACGGAATATGCAGGGGAGGGGCTCCCCACGGAGTGCTAAAAATGTACTAGAATAGCTGCAGAGAGCCTCTGGTGGCTAGCCTGTGCAAGTGCAGTCCCAGTGTGTGCCTGCACAGAAAACTGAAGAAGAACCACTGTTCTGGTATCACCAACAAGTTTGGGGGGGGGGGAGAAACCTGGAGATGCAAGAAGCAGGAGCACACTGACTCGGAATCCAGGACTCTCAGCACATAGTTCCTTCCAGGCGCTTCAGAGACAGTGAGCCACACACCACAAAGGGCTTTCACGGGGCTCCAATCCCTGCCCATCCCTCCCAGCAGCTGGCTCACTGATGCTTTGACTGGCTGGAAAGAGAGGAATACCCCTGATGAGCCTTGCTAGTGTAGAGGCACTTACTTGTCGTTTTTAATATGTTCGTAAAGGCGCTTGAACTGACGGACCTGGAAGGACAAGATCCCCATCAAAACCACCACCATAAGGAGAAAAGGATAAATCCGACGTTGCACAAGGTTTTGCATCTCAGCAGTGACTCCTATGAAAACAAGATAAGAAGAGAGCTGTAATAGAGTTAAAATGCAAAAATTTTACTGGAAAATTAATGTTTCCTTATTAACAACGAAAAGGGCCAAAAATGTACTACCAAAGGATACTATAGCAGTTTGCGTCCGTTCCTATTAAGACAAAATGGTTAGTTGGATGTTTCTCTCTAGTTACACTTTACATATTCCAAAATGGTCTATTTAAGTGTTTGCAGGTAAAACATTGTTGCTAAAATACTGTTAACCAAGATGTTCTTGGCAATAAAATAAAGACGACAACACGGTTAGCTGGGATTTTCAAAATGCCAGAAACAAGTCTGGTCAAAGCACAAAAAACCTCAACACATCTTTGCCTGTTCTGGAAGCCATTACTGTAACAAGTTACTGCCACCCACTGGCCAAAGCAAGCGATCTGGGGAAGGGACGTGATGTGCCTTGATCTTCGGGGGGAAGCAATTTACTGCCGCAACTGACTGCAGTTCCTGACCTGAACAGCACAGGCCAGCCTGATCTCATCAGATCCTGGAAGCTGGGCAGGGTCGGCCCCGGCTGGTGTTTGGGTGGGAGACCACCCAGGAAGTCCGGGACTGCTACACAGAGGTGGGCAAGGGCCAGCCGCCTCTGCTCCTCTCTTGCCTTCCAAACCCTACGGGGGTCGCCATAAGTCTGCTGTGACTTGACAGCAAAAACAAACAAAAATGTCAAGTGATGTGTGAAGGAGAACCCTAGAAGCTCAAAAGACTAAACTGAGGCTGTCGTCCTTTGGCACTGTGGTCTGCATCTTATCGTATCATAAGTCAGAAGCCACTTGGTGGCACTTAACACACACCTTTACTTGGGAGAATGGTTCGGGGCCGTTTTTTTGTTTTTGTTTTTAAAATGTGGATATAACTTTGTATGCATCCCTTTTCAACAGTGAGAGGAAGAAATATGACTCTCTTAGTACAGAAGACCAGAGCCGATATTGATCCTTATCGTGACCAGGGCCACCCACAAATGAAAGTGGTCCTAACTTGGTCTCTAAAAATATGTGTGTTCATTTGCAGCTTAACTGGTCTTTGGGGAAGACTCTGGTTGAGAGTACCAAACACCTCATAGGGGTCTGAGAAGGGACAACACTAGACCCCCACCCCCAGACCATCACAGCAGACACCAGACAGGTACAAAAAATCTCTCATGGCAACCAGGGTGTTTTCTGGAGGGTGACTAGTTTGGAATACTGATAGAAAAGGAACGAGATAATCACTTGCCCCGAGAATACCTGACAGTGTTTCATCACCTCCCTTTTCAAGAACTTTACTCAAATGTTTGGGTTGGATCCAGACTAAATTTGCAACCCCTTCCCACTGCAGACCCCCCTTGTGACACTCTACTCGGCCTCCATCGTGCCTGCTAGCTCACACTCAGCACAATTATTTAGGGTAATTAGATCTGTGACATCCCTCATGGAGAGGAACCAAAATGTTAGTAAATCGGCCATTAGCTGTGAGGCATTTGCAAGCTTTTTTTTAAAGACAATCTTGTTTCTCTGTCACGACCTACCTGCCAATTTTGACACAGTAAGTGAACTGGAGCCCCCTTGGCCACCTTTGGATCCAGTTTTTGACGGCTTCAACCTGCTCTCCTCTGCTGATGTTGACAGGATTCTGGGTGCTGTCAGCCACATGCCTCTTGATCCATGTCCCTCATGGGCTGGTGACGACACGGGGCTCTCTAATGAACATGATCAATCTGTCCCTGGTGCTGCTCCTGAAAAAACCACCTTTGGATCCTTTTGATCCTGCCAATTACCACCCAGTTTCGAATTTATCCTTTCTGGGTAAGATAATGGAAAGAGCAGGAGCCGGGCAGCTCCAGGGTTTCCTAGATGACCCATCAGCATTGGGGCCATTCCAGCACAGCTTTTGCCCCGACCGTGGGACAGAGGCGGCGCTGCTTGCCCTGATCTCTGCAGACAGCTGGGTCGAGGTGGGTCGGCGCTGCTGCTACTGCTTTATCTCACAGCAGCGTTTGACATGGCCGATTACGACCTGTTGAACCGCCACCTCACCCACAAGAGAGTTCGTGGGGTAGTCCTGAAATGGCTTTCCTCATTTCTCCTTGGATGGGGACAGTGGGTGGCCAAGGTGAGAGGGTGCCCCTTAACAGGTGGGGTGCCTCAGGGGGCAATCCTCTCCCTGATGTTATTCAACATCTATATGCACCCCTCCGCCCAGCTGGGGCAGAGCTTCTGGCTGAGGGGTCATCAGTACACCAGTTTGGTGTAAGTGGTCAGGAGCACGGACTCTAATCTGGGAGAACCAGGTTTAATTCTCCACTCCTCCACATGCAGCTGCTGGTGATGTGACCTTGGGTCAGTTAAAAGTTGTTCAGAGCTGTTCTCTCAGGAACAGTTCTCAAGAGAGCTCTCTCAGCACCACCCCCACCTCACGGGGTGTCTGTTGTGGGGAGGGAAAGGGGAAGGAGATTGCAAGCCGCTCTGAGACTCCTTTGGGTAGTGAAGGGCCATGGGGTATGAATCCAATCCCCTCCTCTTCTTCTTCTGTATCTGTTATTGGATGGCTGCCCGGATACCGCCCCACAAACTCCGGCTGTGGGTTTGGAGACTGCAGTGGGATGTCTAAAAAAGCACAGAGGCTGAGACTGAACCCAACAGAGACAGAGGTCCTGTGGCTTGGGGGGCATCAGGACTGGGGCACAGACTTCCCACTCTTCCCACAGGGCGTCACTGATGCCGGCATAATCCATCAGGAGGCCCAGGTCATGAATATTGTCAGGCTGGTGTTTCTCCATCTGCACCAAGCATGGAAATTAGCCCCTTTCCTGTTGCACCCTGACCTGGCCACAGTAATTCACACAATCGTCACCTCCAGGCTAGACTACTGTAACTCGATCTATGATGGCCTGCCCTTGAGACTGACCAAGAAACTCCAACTGATCCAGAATGTGGTGGCGTGAGTCCTGACAGGAACACCACAGACAGCACATATACAATCGGTGCTGCACCAGCTATACTGGCTCCCAGTGGAGTACCGAGTCAGGTTCAGGGTTTTGGTTCTGACCTTCAAGACCTTGAGAATTCTGGAACCCACATATCTTCGGGACCGCCTCTTCTGGTATGTCCCCAGGAGAGCATTACACTCTGCCGGGAACGAGCTGCTGGTGATTCCTGGCCCCAGAGATATCCAGCTGTTCTCGACGAGAGCCAGGGCCTTTTTGGTCCTGGCTCCAACCTGGTGTAACTTTGCCAAACACCAATTCCACAGGGCCTGTATGGCAGAGATGTTCCGCCAGGCTTTTCATTGAGGGCAGCAATGGTTTTTCCATCATGGGGGCACCCTCGATTGTTTTCGTTTCCCCCCATCATTGGCCTATCATTTCTAAACAATAAAGTAAATTTCATAAGCGGTTTTCCATATTCTTGAATAAAAAAGTGAGATACAAATTGTCAGGGTCCTTAGTCAGGTCACACCACACAGGGCTCCATAAGAAGATAACTGTTTATTGATGAGTCCAGTACTAATGAACACGTGTACAGCTTGTGTCAGGAATGGGCATCAGTACTAGGGCCTCTGACTTATAGTAAAATCAAACATTCCCCCTGTAAGCATGAGCCAATGGACATATCTCGTGCGCGCAGGCAAAGCAAGCGGGCAAAGCAAAAAAGCCGTTAACTTTCCCAGCCGAGTAAACTGCAGCTGGAGCCTCTACAAGGTCTTATATAGCAAACAGTTGATGAGCCAGAGAGAGCTAAGAAGCAAAAGGAGGACACCCCTCCGCATTCCAGAACTATGACAGGGTTACCTGACACAAATCTCCCAATCTTGCATTTCCAGTGTTATGTCTGAAGCCTAGATCAGGATGATACCCATCTTTACTCACCTAGTAAAGGTACAACTCCAGAAGCTATGATGTAAGGTACACAGAGAGAAAGCAACAAGACTGAGATCACAGGTGCTGCAAGTTTCCGTATTATAAAATGTAAGTCGATATTCCGAATGCCATTTGCATACACCTGAAACAACACAAAAATCAAGTCATGTGAATGAAGTTTGTACATAAACTGTGCAACCACATGATGGGCATATTCAGGACTGGGAATTTTGGGGCTAAATGCTGCAGTTAACATTTCACTGAGGGAAATCAGACACCTTCTAAACTATAGCAGTACATTGGCATATGAAATTCACTATTCTAAGATTTTTATTTTTATTTATTAATGTTCTTTTTTTTTAAGCCCCCGGAGGTGATTTTTTATTGATTTTTTAAACACTACAAAAACTAGAACAGAAAAAAGGGAAAGGGAAAGCTACATATAAGGGAGAAAGTAAAGAACCCACTACTAACTAAAAACCCAAGAGAGGAGATCTCCAACTAGCTTTTTATACTTCATTCAGACTTTTAATCTTTGTACTTCTTATGAACTGTGTCAATCTTTTAACCCTTTTAACCATCCCAGTTACATTTAATTGCCCAATAACAGTGCCCCCCATCATCCCCTAGAACCAAAGTTCTCAAAGGCACAATTCAGAGTCCTTCAGCCTTTACTTCTTCTTCTCTTCTGCAGTTTGTAGGAACTTTTCGGGGCTGATGCCCCCTGCTCAGACAAAGAGTTCTCACCAGATGAACCAGTTTCCAGCTCTCCACTGGACTTATCGTCCTCTTCTTTTTTCTCGTCCTCTGGCCTTCCCAGCTGCTCCTTTAGAAACTCTTGAGCTTTAAGAACAGAGAGTCAATCTTGACCTTCTTCTCCTTGATCTTGAATATTACTCCTTCTGGAAACAGCCATTTATATCCAATTGAGTTTGGAGGAAAAACACAAGTTCTTTGTATTTCTTTCTGCGTTGTCTTACTTCAAATGGAATATCCTTTAGCATTCTGACAGCATTCTCCCCCACCTTCAGGGGTGTCGCAGCAACTGCTTTCAGGATAGCATCCCTGACGTGCCTCTTCGAGAATCTTACTACAATTTCCCCAGGCATATTATTTTTCTTTATGTATCCTGTAGGCCACATCCATGTTGTTGAGTAGCAAGTCCGCCTTTATATCTGCTACTGGGGCAAGTAGCTCACTCATAAGTTCTTTAAGATTCTCTCCTCTTTTCTCTGGCACCCCTTGGAAGTGCAGGACCATATTAGCCTTATCCATTTGCACTTGCAGCGTCTGACCTTCCAAAGATAGTTTTCTTTTCCAATTTTTGCACTTTTCCCCTCACTATCTGTGTTGTCTCAGCCATTTCCTTTACCTTCTCAGCATCCTGCTTCATTACTTGAATCAAATCCGTTATTTGCGTTTGTTGAGCAGTAATGCTTGTTGTCACAACTTGCAGCTGCTTTTGTTCTGCAGTAATATTCGCTGTTACAACAGACAACTGTTCTTTAAAGACATTGAGCTGTTCCAGCAGAGGGCGCATGACCTCTGTCATCGCTTTCATCGTCTCACTGGTCGTTTCCGGGGATTCTAGTTTCGCTTTTAAAAGTTTCTCTTTGTCTCTGTCCTTCTTCCCCACCATCTTTTTCTAGTTTGTTTGCTTTCGCAATAAATTTTAAAGTCTCTGAATATGCGCTTATCTGTATAGCTCGATGGATGAGTACTTCTGGGCAATTTTCTTGTTTATTCTTCCACTCCCTCCCCTTTCGCTCAATGATTTATGGGCATGGGAGGCGTCCCTCCCACCACTCGCTTCTGCCGTTTCGCTGCTTCGGGTAAGGAGTGTCTTTTCGTTTAAAAATCAGTTCTCATTTGACTCACGTTCATAGTTGGTCTTCCGACCCCTCTTCATTCATCATTTCAAACGCCTGATCTCCTGTGCTTGACCCGGCTAGCTTCACTTGTACCATCAGGTCTCTCGGCTGGACGGACCACTGGAGCAAGGGGGAGCCTCGATTCTCTGGCATTTGGCCAGAGAAGAGGCTACCCCCTCAAAGCTCCTTGGCCAGGTGCCCTTCCCCAGGCTCCTGGGGGGGGGGTTACAAGCCTGCTCACCCCCTCCATCCGCCAGAGCACGGAGACACCCCCGGGAGGTCCGGGAGGTGAGTCCGTGAGCGTGCCGCCATCAACCAGAAGTCCTCATTGGAGGAATTTTTCTACATTCTCCTGCTATTTGAGATTGGGGATGATGACCATAAAGAGAATGTCTTTGGAATGTCCTCCCCAAACAAATTTGTATCACATTAAGATCCTTTTTATTTTCAGGAGCTATTATCGGTGTGTGACAAACTGCACTTTCTAAGAGGTTTAGAAGTACAGTACATAAAACTACAGAACTATGAAGGGTTAATACTTCACAGAGCTGGAGAGCCCTCCTGAACAATTCAGCTTTGCATCATTTGCAGAATGTCTGGAGAGGGGGAGCCTTCCCGACCTCCTCAGGCAGGCCCTTCCGCAAGGTTGGGAGCCACGACGGACAAGGCCACGTGTATGGGCAGTTGCTGATCTTGCCCGTTTGCAGGGTGGCACCTGCATAAGGCCCAGCTCAAACGAGCAAAGCCGCTGTCACAGAGCCCAAGAAGAGAGGTGGTCCTACAGAGAGGAGGGTTCTGTCTGTGATAGCAGTAAGTTACTGGGCTTCAGTTAAAAACTAATGGAAGAAACTGGAGATGTGCTTCATTTGATGCGATGTAGGTAAGATGCAAAATTTTATCTCTTTTGTCAGAAGAGAAGATTCACTGGAAAATACAATAATGCCAGGAAAAGTTGAAGGCAGCAGGAAAAGAAGACGACATGGGACATTTTGGAGATCATTAATTCATATAAATATGATACTTTAAAATGTTTACTGTATACTAATTTCTGTTTTCATATGTGTACTTCTTTAGTAATATTCTTCAAAATTATTGTTTTTGTTGCAATGTTTGCTAATTTATATTCTACTTTTTTAAAAAAAGTGGCTTGAACATTCTCTGTGGGTCAAAGCGAAAAGGAGGTTTGGGATTCCCAAGTTCAAGTTTACACCCTTATGCATCACAGTCCGTTGCACCATGACCCTGGTTGAAGCCTGACAAAAATTTGGGGTGAAAATGGTTCTTTGAAATTCTTACTGTACATACACTTCTTCTCTAAGAGGGATAGCATTGTCTATTTGCTAACTATAAAATAAAGTGAATAGGAAATTAATAAAGTGAGATGCAATCTCCCATTCTGAATCTACTTATGGACATGTGGAGATCTATGCAAAGCAGTAAATTAAAAAAGCATTATTCTGTGCACATTTAGTGAGAAGAGAGCCTCACTCAGCTGGTTTCACCTACAAGTAAACACCCAGATTTTCTTTTTAAACTGAGGAAATATTTTATGTTATGGCCTGGTTAATAACAAAAACACCAAGCTCAATTTCCCTAAGCGATCTAGTGATGAAACAAATTAAGAATTCAGTCCCCAGGTTCAAAATTCAGTACAGGAAAACCACAAAACCTGAATTGAATCTGATTACTGAAATGGCTTACAGCTAATACAGGATGCAAAATGCTCTAAAATCGGGAGAAAGGCCGATTATATTGAGCAATTTGTACTAAAAATATTAGTAACAAAGGCTGTTACAAGAAAGAAATCTTGCTTCTTGGTATGAATTTCTCCAATACTGAATTCTTTAAAAATAGGGAAATAGTACATGAAGATATAAATCTGGGGACATCTTGGACTATGTTATTAAAATATTTATTGATCTAGGAACTTCCTGTGCCACCTTTCTGTAAGTAAGCACACCCAAGGCTGTTTACAATACAACAGATAAAATACATCGTCATGCCAGCATAAAACTACAGCACATAAAACTCAGAGATAACAAGCAGATAAATTTTCAGTGGTGTTAATAGAGGGTGCCGAGGAGGCCTTCCGCTTTCATCCTCACTAAAAACAGGGCAAGATCAGTTTACCATATGCTGGCATTTTACACATTTTGACTTTTCAGGAGCAAATCTGACAAAACCAGTTGCATCCCACTTACTAGAGATCTAATGATGGGTTTCTTTCATATTTGTGGACTTCTCTCAAAATAGTACACATAGGAGAATTGTGAACAGATGCCTGTCGCCCTGTACAATAAGTGTTTGTGTGTGTGTCCTGAAATGCATGTGCATCCGTCGAGAGGCTGAATGGTTCAAGTGTTAATATCAACAAGCAGATGCAAAGTACAAATTCTGGTCAACAATGAAAAGAATTTGTAGGGGCTGCTTTCTTATTTTGTCAGTGATACTCTCAGTAAACCATTCACCCTACATTATTCAGTGCAGTAATGGGGCTGGGGAGTATAGTGGGTTGGATCCCACAGGTCCGTTCCATAAATGCTAGCACCTTACTCCAGTGTCTTATCCAATTCTTATGCTGTTTTATAAATTAGTGACTGTGAAAATGTTTTCTGAAAATCAAATGTGCAACTTAAAGTATGAAACTATATGAATATTTTAAGGGATACATATGCCAATTCTTAAACAACAGAGGAAAGTTCTAGCAATAACCAAGAATTCTTACCTGTTCAATAACCGTTTTAAGCCACCACTGGGGGCCCATCAGCGTTATAGCAGCAATTATTTTGGCATGCAGAACACCAAGAGCCCAGTCCTAATTGAACACAAAACACAAACTTTGATTATGAACATGTAGATACTTGACAAAATTAAAGCCTCACCAGATATACAACTAGGTAGTAGCAGGCCTCTGACTTCATTATGACATGGATCAGAATTAATTAAGAAAAGATGTGCCTCAAGCATTTTAAAGTGAAGGACATGGCTGTTAAACAATTTCCCCCCAGATTCTTGAATGAGAGATAATTTCCAGAATGGTATGGTTTTTAAAAAATCATTTATAAGAACTGAAGAGAGCATCTAACAATTACATTTGATGATGGCTGATAATGTCAAGTTGTTATATTATCAGGGGTCCCCAGCCCTTCTGAGCCTGTGGGCCCCTCTGGAATTCTGGGACAAGGCGGTGGGCCCCATCACAAAATGGCTGCCAAGAGAGGTGGAGCCAATCACAAAACGACTGCCAAGAGAGGAGGAGGCACAGCCAGCCACAAGATGTCAGGGATTGAGATTATATTTAATTCTAATAGTGACTCTCCAACATTTCAGCCAGAAGATCTTTCTAATCTACACAGCCAATCAGAAGCCCTAGCGGGCAAAGGCCCCACCCAGCCCAGCCTGGTTTCTAATTGCACTTGGCAGGTGCCTGGGATGGTGCTGGTGGGTGTGCCCTATTGCCCCTGTGGGCACCACGTTGAGAGCCCCCGTTATATATGTTCTGCAAGGTATTATCTCAAAACATTTCTGAACCTACATGTCAGGGGACAAGTCTCTTTTCCTTGAATACGGAACCTACTAAAAATGCAAGGAGTGTAGCTTGTCCTCAGTATTCCTATTGAACCAGCTGGGGATCATGTTGTAAAACTGACACTCCATTCAGGTTATCTGTCGACTAAGGGAAGATTCATACAGCCGCACAGAACACATTTCCCAGCCACCTTTTGCTGTGAATGGAACCCATCCTTGGAACCAAAGCAACATGAACGCTGCCATCGCGCTACTCCACACAGATGGGCAAGTCTCTTTTTTTAAAGGGCTTCCTGAATTCCACATGAATTTCTACCAGTTCACTTTGATTTTACTGCACTGAGCCAAAGGCAAGAACAAACAAGAACAGAAGTAACAACAAATAAATGAAACAATAAAACTAGATTGATAACCATGCACTGTTAAAAGTTACATTTTCATAAGGTGCCTTTTGGATTATTCATCCAGCTGAATATAGAAAGGAGGAACATTTTGCTGGCCTGGTTTCGGACACTACACATTAGACTGAATTTTCTTGGCAGCTAAGGCACAAAGGGCAAGCCTGTGGGAGACTCTTGGCGCCTCGTCTGTGAGGAGAAATAAAACTTTCTCCATTGTGGTGCTTGGGCCTAAACTAGTCAGAATTGTGCCTAGGGTTCTTTTGCCTAGGAGCTTTAGACAGGCCAACCAGTAGTGACATAAATCTTCTGGTTCTGAGGCTGCACAAATGCATAGATGCTGATCAACTGGTTCTTGTGGCAGTTTGCATTGTCTGAAAACAAACAGATGTGAAGGCTGAAATGAGTTTGCAAAAAGCAATCTTGGACAGTGTGCCCTAGAGTGATCCTTTTTAATTAATGTAAAGTAAGGAGAGAATGTAGTACCTGAAATAATTTGCCTAGCAAAAGTGGCATCATGTGCATATACCCAGGCCCAGCAATTGAAATCGGCCTGACGGACACCACAAACAACATCTGGCAGTTTATACGGATCAACAATTTTGTAATAATTGGTGGACTGTGCAGAATCTTTTTGAATAAAGTGAAACAAAGGCTAGAGAGATGACCAGCTGCAACACTCCTCAGTTTGTGCCAGTAATCCATAAAGGGCTATGTGCACACATGCCCAAATAGATGGAAGGTCTAGCGCAGCTCTCAGCAAGGCAGCTGGAGTATTTGGGGGTAGTGCTAAGATCTCTTTCAGGAAAAGGTTCTGTATTCTTTCCCATTTAGCAACCATAGCATCGTTCCATCCCCATACCTCTACAGGAAGGAGGAGGAGGAGGAGGAGGAGGAGGAGGAGATTGGATTTATACCCCATGGCCCTTTACTTGGAGTCTCAGAGCGGCTTACAAACTCCTTTCCCTTCCCCTCCGCACCACAGACACCCTGTGTGAGGGAGGCGGGGCTGAGGGAGCTCTGTCAGAAACGGCTCTTTTTCAAGGACAGCTCTTATCAGAACTATGGTTTGCCCAAGGTCATCCAGCCAGGTGCAAGTGGAGGAGTGGGGAATCAAACCCGGTTCTCCCAGATTAGAGTCCGCGCACTTAACCACTACACCAGACTGGCTCTCAGATTGGATTTATACCCTGCCCTTCACGACCCGAAGGAGTCTCAGAGCAGCTTACAATCTCCTTTCCCTTCCCCTCCCCACAACAGACACCCTGTGAGGTAGGTGGGGCTGAGAGAGCTCTCTCAAGAACTGCCCTTGAGAACAGCTCTGAAAGAACTTGTAACTGGCCCAAGGTCACACCAGCAGCTGCATGTGGAGGAGTGGGGAATCAAACCTGGTTCTCCCAGATAAGAGTCTGTGCTCTTAACCACTACACCAAACAGCCTTAATGCAAGAGTAACTGATAAATGTTGATAAAGGGGTAGAAATTAAAAACAGATCAAGCCATGAGAAGGAATCATGAGCAGCAGAGGGATTAACAGTGGGGAAAGGGGAAAAGGTCTTTTTAACATGCTGTATAAAGATCCTGTGTTATTTCCCTGGCATTAAAGTGGTGAGTGATTTGGCTACTGCATAAGTTAGTTTGCTCTGGAGCCATCCTTCCTGAGCTAAGACAAAAATGTGTGAGCTGGGGGCTAAAATCTGTGAGGTAGCTCCCACTAACTCAGCTTAGAGGGAACACTGGCCAGGAGGCCTCTCTGCCCTGTTCCTGGCCCTCCAGACGAACTGGCTGGCCCCTGGGTGAGACAGGATGCTAAAGTAGATGGACCACTGGTCTCATCCAGCAGGGCTTTTCTTAGGTTCTTAAGACATATTTTCTAATGTCTATGAGCTATTGCTTCAACAAAACTCACCTGTGGGGCAGATTTCATATTTTCTTATCAAATGGAATCATGACTTGGGATACCAGCTGTCTGAGGAAGTTTGGAACTATATCTTGCCTTGGGGATCATGCTCTACTATACCTCTATACTTCAAGGAAAAATTGTTTAAGATAATACATCAAATTTATCTCACGCCCAAGAAGCTTGCAAAAATTTATAATACTGCTAGTAATTGTTGGTTTTGTCATAAACAGTAAGCAGTTTTTTAACATATGTGGTGGCATTGTCCACGCGCCATGAATTATTGGAATAACAGATGAGAGAAACTGAAGAAAGGGTTAATAGTGTACATCTGGAAATCCTTTCACTGAATCATGTACCTGGTTTTCCTGTGAAATATCAGGAAATCCTTTTAAATCTCATTACTATTGCGCAACTTGTTTTTGCTCAGAATTGAAAGCTGAATAAGGCACCAGATATCAGGAATCATCAGATACAGTTAAGGAGGCTTACATAACTTTGAAGCTTACCATATTACAGAAAGGTAACTGTCTTATTTATTTGATCCCTTACGGACATCTGTTATTAATCAAATTGAGGCACTTTTATAATTTGGTTTTGTAAGAATTTTGAATATGTAACTTTTTCAGTATGGATATTAATAAAATTAAAGTTTTTTTTTTAAAAAAGAAACTTTGTGAGGCAAACCTTTGGCTCCTCCCCCCATGTTCAAGCAAATAAGTACTGGAGAAAAGAAACATAATTTTGAAGTTCAACTGACTCTTCAAGAGTAATCAGAAGGTACTTCATTTTCAGCTACTATAAATAGAACAGATTAATATAACAATTGAAGTATCTTGAGTCACCTCTGAAAAGATTATGTTAATTACAACTCTTAAGATTAAGAAGATTATCTTAATTACAACTCTTAACATCACACAGTAAACCATTAAGTATTTATATACTCTCTTTAAGACACATAATCCTGGCCCTACATCGGTCCAGTTGCCTTCAGTTACAAGGATGCCCACAGGGCACGGATTAGCTGAACAGACCAGGCAAGGCAGCCATTGCTGAGAGGCTTGGAAGGCCAATGACCAGACAAGCAAGAAGGACAGACGTGTGTAGCTGACCTGCCAAGGGTAGAACAGAGGAGTCTGATCCAAGGGAACCCTCAAAGGAGCAACAATGACCAGCTCAAAGAGAAGTCCAAGCAAAAGTGGAACGACGCCAGCCAGCAATATCGCAACTATCAATGTCTTCATCTTCTAAAAGGGGGGGGGGGGGGGGGGGAGAGGAAATTTAAATAAGTTTCAAACAATTTCAAGACCTGACATCCCTCCTAAAAATTAATCACTAGCTCCGGTCTTTCCTTTCTTTCGCACGTTCTGTCCACATCTGGAGACTATTTCTAGACCTTGGGGGAAGCTTTCTTTTTAATTGCTCTACTGAGCTCTTTCCTCCTGCCACTGGAACAGAACACACCAGAGTGATGCTCTTTACACATCTGGCAAAGGCTTCTCTCAAACTCTGGCAGCACCATTTCCCCAGCAACTTACCATGAGGGACCATTCCTTCACTTTCTGAAAAATCACGTGGCGGCCTTGGGGCATCCAAGCAAGGAGCACTGTCACTGCCCGAATGGTCAACCAGCAGACATAAAGCCCACAAGCGGCTGTGTACAGCTCGTGGATTTTGGCAGTCCCTGTCCAAAAAGACATCAGCCAACGGCCTGCAAAAACTAGAAACCGGAAAGTTTAGTGAACATTTCACCATCACTTGATGCAGTGTGTTTTGTTAAAGGATGCAGACCAGAACCCAATAAGCCTGAATAGCTGTCCCTTTTCCCCACCCATCCACGAAGAACATGACAGGCTGCTTCTGAGAGCAGATTTCAAAGGCCATTTGGGGTACAGCCCAGGGGCTAAAAACAACAACAGCAACACGGACCCTAACCCGAAAGGCAGCGTGAGCCCTTACTTGGCGAGAGCCTAGGCAGCCCTTTGAATACCAGCGTGTCATTCCAAAGCATTTGATTTAATTTTCAACTCTGGCATTAAGAATTCTAGTTTGAAATAATGGAAAAGAAAACTGAAGTCAGCTGAAAGTTACAAGCCTTTTGCCTCATTTTAATATACAGGGTAGCTAATTAAATTGCTTTAAAATAATAAGACTGGTGTCCGGACTGCAGATTTTTTCATCAGCTTTGATGAAAATACATTCATTCTTGGATCATGCACATATCCTCCTATGGCATCAAAATCCAAGAAATGATCAAATTTACTGACCAAATCAATATCTGTATAACGTTTGGTACAAATGTGGTAAAAATTATGTCAAATAGGTAATACTATTTTTCCACCTCCATGAACATTAAGCAACACTTTAGATCAGGGTGTCAAACATATGGCCCACGGGCTGGAACCCAAGGAGTTACTCTGGCCCATGGCTCTCTTCTCTCCCCCCCTCCCCGCCCTGCCCCGCCTCTGCCTGTCCTCACCCTTCCGAGCTGCCTTTGAGTGTAGAGAGCCAAAGGCAGGGCTGCTGAACTTCCTTCCTCTTCACTGGCTTCTCCTGTGCCCGTGTGGGTCTGCTACAGTTGTTTATTTGCTGAAGTTTGCTGGCTGAGGGGAAAGGGGCTTGGTTGCAAATGTTGTGCTTCCCAGTGGAGGCTTGTCTCTCACATTCATTGAGCTAAAGGCTGGGACCAGGTGGGTCTGCTAGAGTTATTTGCTGAATTTTGCTGGCTGAGGGGGAGGGGGGCTTGTACGGGACTGCATAGTAATTCTGCAACTGTGTGTCCCAACTACACCAGATAATATGGCCAGTCAACATAAGTTAAGCAGTAAGGTTTAAAATTTTCTCTAGTTTTCTAGTGCTCCAAGATGCCAGACTCAGAATTCTCCTAATTTGTGGATAGAAACTGTCAACAGGAGTATTTAAAATAAGCCAGAACAACAGTATGTCATAGATATGGCAGAGGCACAGAACTGATAAAATGGCACATGGCAATAATCCATCGGTTTATTCATTTATTTTTTAGACTAATAGAAAGATCTCGGTAGATGTCCTAAGTTTAGAGCCCCAGATTCTGTTAAATATCGCTTGCAACCCATGTCCTATTTATCACAGCTTGATACTCACAAATTTAGGGAAACCTTCACATTAGCCAGATGTGAGGCTTTCCCCTCTGCGATGCTTGAGGGCAGATTCAAAAGGATCCCCACTGAATATAGACTTTGTCAATGTGGCTCAGGAGAGAGAGAAACTATTGAGCACATGATGCTCAGATGTAACTGGTATAACAAGATCTGTGACAAATATATTACTCCTCTTATAACAGATATGGTGGGACAATCAGGTGCTGAGCAGTGTAACCGATTGTTAACTGATGGGAACCGGACAATTACCGGAACTGTGGCAAAATTGTGGGTAGCATGCTACTGCATCCGAAATACACTATCAAATATATAATAATAGTTGCCTAATAGTCTCTGTTTTATGTTCTTCTTTTACTTTATTACGCTCAACTGTATTTTTATAGAGTTTTATTTTGCTGTCCTAAATTCAGTTATATGAATGTTATGAATGTTATATTTAAGCATTTGTGTTCTATGACTTGTTGCCGTAATAAATGACTGACTGGATCCCATTCCCAGGCAAAATCTCCTCTGACGGAAGGGATTCCCCATCAGCAGAGAGTAAATTTCTATGCCTACCTCCTGCTGCAGCCCAAAATGTCCACATAATGTTACTTCTGGGAGAGAGGAGACCTCCCCGCCCCCAAAACAATATGAGGAGGAGAATCAGCACAACAGAAGTTTTTCACTGGATCCAACCCACAAGATTTAAGGCTTCACATAATTACACAACCTGGCCCTATGCATGTTGATACAGGAGCAGCTCCCTTGGACTACCACAGGGCTTTACTGCTAATTAAGTGCATACACAACTGCAACTTTAAATAATTAGCAGATCCAACAATAACTCACCTTTGGCCCTATCCTTGTGTGGAGATTGCAAGGTCACAATTGCAAGGGTGAACAAACATGATTGCAAGGGTGAACAAACATGTGGACAAGGGGGATCCAATAGATATTGTTTACCTTGACTTCCAGAAAGCTTTTGATAAAGTTCCTCATCAAAGGCTCCTAAGTAAGCTCAAAAATCATGGGATAAAAGGACAAGTCCTTTTATGGATCAAAAACTGGCTAATTAATAGAAAACAGAGAGTGAGTATAAATGGGCAATTTTCTCAGTGGAGGATGGTAAGCAGTGGGGTACCGCAGGGATCAGTACTTGGTCCACTGCTTTTTAACTTGTTCATTAATGATTTGACAATCTCAACTGGAAGTTTATGCTACAGATGATGGAAAAAATAGAAGTTGGACAACACTTTAGAAATTGCATTGAAGCTATCTATTCTGAACAAAGAGCTAAACTGAATGTAAACAAAGAATTGACTGATAGCTTCAAGGTACAGAAAGGTACTAGACAGGGTTGTCCCCTATCACCGTTATTATTTATTTGGGTGTTGGAGATACTTCTACAAAAAATACAGCAAGATCAAGAGATAACGGGATTGACACACAAAGGACTTAAATATAAATATCGAGCATTTGCTGATGATGTAATGTTTATTGTGCAAAACCCGATAGAAAAGTTACCGTTACTATTCCAAAAAATAAAGGACTTTGGAGAATTGGCCAGATTTTACGTGAATAAGAATAAAACGAAGCTTATTTGTAAAAATATGACGAAACAAAAACAAATGGAACTGCAAGACCTGGTACAATGTGAAGTAGTAAAAAAGACGAAATATCTTGGTATTGAGTTAACTGCAAGAAATATAGACTTATATAAGAATAACTATGAAAAATTATGGACCAAGTTAACTCAAGACTTTAAGAAATGGGACAAAATGAACTTGTCACTGATGGGAAGAATATCAGTTATAAAAATGAATGTCCTACCACGTTTGATGTTCCTGTTCCAAACAATACCAATACTTAGTAAGACAGATTTGCTACTTAAGTGGCAACAAGAACTATCAAAGTTTGTTTGGGCAGGCAAGAAACCGCGAATCAAGATGAAAATTCTTTGTGATACCAAAGACAGAGGTGGGCTACAACTACCAAATCTTAGACTATATTATGAAGCGGTCTGTCTAACCTGGATGGAACAATGGGTGAAATTAGAAAATGATAAGTTACTGGGGTTAGAAGGCCATGATTGTAGATTTGGTTGGCATGCATATTTATGGTATGACAAAACAAAAATGGACAGCTTTTTTAAGCTTCATGTGGTAAGAAAAGCACTATTTGTGGTATGGATGAGGTATAAAAAATACTTTTGTGATGTAAGACCATTGTGGATTGTACCAGTGGAAGTGTTAACATCTTACTCAAGACATAGAGATAAAGATTGGTTGCCATATAAAGATCTAATTAAAAAAGTGGGAACAGAATGGGTAATGAAAAAGCAGAATGAAATTGAATATGAATATGAATGGTTGAAATATATGCAGATTTTTGATCTTTTTAGATCAGACAAAAG